TTTGACCAGATGGTTGCCTGCTGCCATAACTATACCTTTGTTGCTATTGCAAGCTTGAAGAGTTGCAACTCCTTATAATTCCTTGCAAATAGTTGTTGGGAAACCTCTCTTGGATGTGAGTGATTTTAGCTGTCAGATCCTGCATTCTCGTCATGTTGCCATTATCTGTTTGCAATTCAGTTGTCGGGGTTGACTTGGGATGTGGACTGGTGGGTGGCTATGTCATTCCATTGTAATTCCCAAGAGCTATGTTGGGCCATATATATATATTTTATAGGACACATATGGTAGAAATATGCTTCATGTTCATGGATTATGGGAAGATTTGGGAGGGCCTTTTCATTGAGGTGAAAAGGTCTCACTCGGATGATGACCTGTACATAACTCAGGGCCTTCTATTAAATGGCTTGGCAGAAATATGTAAACAGTGTAATTGTAAACATACTTTTAAGGCAAAAGTTACTTCAACTGGGGGCTGGGTTATATGCGGGGATGGGCTTCAAAAGGTTTAGCAAAGGGTTCTCTGCCCGGTTTCTGGGTGGGTGTGGCCATGGTGGGCATGGCCTAATTGGGCTTCTGCACCATGGGTGTGTGTGGGGGTTGCCCTCCCCAGGCTCCGGAGGCTTTCTTCGAGCCTCTGGGAGGGCAAAAATGGTCTCCCTGGGTTCTGGAGGCACTCTGGAAGCCAGAAACAGGTCCATTTCCAGCCTTCCCAAACTTCGGGGAGGCCTGTTTTTCACCCTCCCCGAACCTCCGCATGGGCCCTGCACTTTCCTGCATCCAAAACGGGACAAGTGGGGACTCCTGGGAGGGGAGGGGTGGGCGGGCCCAGCCAGGAATGGAATTTGGGGGTCCTCCAAACTGCACAGCATCTTAGCTAGGGGCTCTTCTGAACCCCTGCGAACCCCCAGCAGCCCACCCCTGGTTATTTGATCCTGTCTTTTGACCTCTCAGACTCAGGGGGTGGTGGAATGATGCACTTACATGTTTTTTTAATATAAAAAGTTTTTTTTTATTTTTATAGCAACAACAAAAACAAACAAATAAAACCTTTCTGGTCAACAATGTGTCACTCTTTGTGCACATAGTAACATTATCATACATATTTTACTTATATATGTTTATAATCATTCTAACCAGTATTTTATAGCACATATATCACTTAATATATTATCCTTAACATTGTAATTATTGATTTTCAATGATATATTTCATGTTCACTTTCTTACTCTATTAACTCATCCATTTATCAGTAATGATATATTATACTGTACTTACATATTTCAATTTCTTACTCTTCTATCCAGCCATTCATAAAATAAATTCCAAATTTTATAATAATTTTTTTCTTCTTGTTCTCTAACTGCCATTGTCAATCTACTCATTTCTGCACATTCCGTTATTTTCTTAATAATTTCCTCATCCATTGGAATTTTCTCATTTTTCCAATTTTGTGCAAATACAATCCTAGCTGCTGTTAGTACATAGATAATCAAATACATTAATTCTTTATTGTAACCCTCAGGCAAAATTCCCAATAAAATTGTCTCTGGTTTTAAGTCTATAGGCTGTTTTATTATTTTCTCCAGCCACATGTGTATTCTAGTCCAATACTTTTTAGCTTCTGTGCATGTCTACCACATATGGTAGTATGATTCTGATGACTTCTGAGATTTCCAGCACTTCGCCAACTTATCTTTAAACATCTTGGCAATTCTCATTGGGGGTAGATGCCACCTGTAAAACATCTTATACAAATTATCTTTATAGCCATTGACATAGTTAATTTATAGTTGTTGGACCATTATATCTGCCATTTATCCAAGTCTATTCCATATCCAAAGTTTTTCCCCATGCAATCATTGATTCTTTAACTTGTTCTTCTTCTAATTTCACTCCTAATAAATAACCGTATATATTTTTGAACAACTTCTTTTCAGTGCCTGTTAGGATTTTATCCAATTTAGTCAATTCCTTATAAAACCAGCCATCTTAATGTCTTTTTCATACCTTGTATGTATTTGCAAATACGAATACCAATTTATA